GGACCCCCACATAAATCTGCCATCCCATGACTTCCCATTATTTTCTTCTCAAATAGGCGATTTTCTGAAGAAAACACAGATGTACTTAGGCTTTCTGAGTGTGTCTAAAAATTGTTTGCATGCCTCACCATTTTAATATCCTAAAATATTATATTGTCCGCAGAAGTTACTTATTCTAAATGGTTTAGAATAAGTACAGTATATTATAAGGAAAATATGCATATATGATTAAGATACGTTCATTGTATAATTTAACAATGATATGCTCTATAGACACATAAACACACGTATAAATACATACACACATGTATTATTTTCTCTTTCACAAAATACATTAATTTAATTCTAAGTAAATGACAACATTTCTGAAAGTGGACTGAGATTTCTACTCTTGTGAAAGTTAGTTCTACTTTACTCATAGGATGGCCAAAATATTCAGTTACTTATTTTTGTAACTCTATTGATTTGATATGATGAGTAAAGCTGTCATAAATTTAACATTAAAATTACCTCATTTAATCTTTGCAAATCTATTATAAGGAACAAATTGCTTCTATTCCACTGATGATAAATTTTACACTCATAGAAGTTATAGCTCTGCTCAAAGTCAAGGTATAGAAATGATAGACAGCAATTTGCATTCAGGACTACATTTTTAGACATTTTGTGATCCCATTACCTTATAATAAAAGAGCTAGCTATATTATCCCAAGTCACTAGGGGTTAATTACATCAGTCCTGGTTTGTCTTTTAAAAGAGTTCCAGAAGTTATATTGCTGTTCTTGAGTATTCATATACTGCCCAGAATTACTCTATTAGATAATAGATTGTTCACAATATTTGAAAGCACTGCTTGTCATTAACAAAGTAAGGAGGAAAAAGACAATATATCTTAAAATTATTAATATAAGGCTGGAGTAATACAGGTGAACTTTCACATTTTTATCCCGTTTTCTTACTTTACTTTTCCTATCATTTATTCCTTGTACAATGCTTTGAGATACAAGTTACTGTCTACTTTTTAGATAAAAAAAGATTTTATTTAGGTTTGCCATTCTAGTAAATAGACAGAGATTTGCTTGTATCCAAATTTGGATTTAGGCCTCTAGACTAAGATTTTGTACACTTTTTTCCTTAGAACATCTTTCTTTTATAAATAAATAACTTCAGAAATTTGGAAAAAAGAGATTTACATAAAAGAACACTGTTGGTTCATGATAAACCCTTTTAACATTTTGTAATACATGCTTAGCCATTTCCACTGAGATTATCTGGTAGTGTCCTCTTGAAGCATACACAACCGTTGCCAAGGTTTCCAGGAGGAAAATGTGTTGGTAGATTTATCATTTACCAGGCCAGCACAGATGGAATCTCTTTGTTACTGAAAAACAAATTCATGTGTTTAGTGTAGGGTGAAATACACCTTGTTAATATTAGGAAACTAAGGATAACTCTTGGAAAGTAGAGTTGCTTGAACAAACATTTTTTTTTAGTAATACAGTAATTTAGTATCAGAATGAACTGGATTGTTATGTTTAGTTAAGCAGAAAATTAAAATGCATAAAAACAAGATAAAACTTTACATGTGTACCTATTTATTTCCACGAAGAACATTGTGTTGTACATAATTGTCATATCATTACTTGCTTTAATTCAGCTACAAAGATATAGATCATTTAAGTCCCAGATCTTTGTGTCATATTTCTATTATTCAAAATGCTATTCTTTTAATAATAATTTACATTTATTTTAACCTATTTGGGAGTAGATATTTATTTAATTTGAAATGTTGCTCATTCCTGCCAACAATTGCTTTGTCAGTCAGGATAAAAAACTGACTAAAAATAAGGCTAAATAGAATATGCAACTTAGCAAGTATATAAGAAAAAGTTGTTAAATTGCTCACTGAAGGTGCAGTAATAAAATGAACCTTTGGTATTAAATGTGAAAAATTATTAGATTAGAAAATTGAGAGATACAAAGGATGTGATAAACACAGGAAGTAGAAGACATGGAAATTGAACCTGATGACTGAAAGATAGTAATTGCCAGATATTTGGAAAGATGGTTATACTGTTTCAAATAAAAATATGAGGAGATTGCTTCAATCATTTTCCTAAATTAATAGTAAATAATTTCTTTAAGTGTAATAAATTAAATTTTTATGATATGGAGAAATACAAAAATTTGTCAAATTTAAAATTTTGCCCCTGTGTATTCTAGGGAAAACTAGATTTGAAACATGCACATACATAATAAAACTGAAAAAAAAAAACAAGGTAGCAATAAAGAAATAAACAGTAGATTACTCAGACTTGAGAAGCAATAAAATTGATGAGTGTGGCACAGAAGTTTCCTGTGTAGTTATACAATGTATAATTCTTATGGTGGATTGTCAATGGACATATTTAACTGTACAACACATATTGTGCATAGTAACCTACAGAAGCATATATCAAGTATTTGCTTTTATAGTTTACCATATAATGTCAAATGGAATATTTAATATTATTTATAAGTTTTCCTCAAGAAACATTTTCAAAATCTACAAAGTTACTTTTTAAATTACACTACCAAGACAGAGAAATAATTGCCTAGAAATACAACTCAGTTGAATTTTAATGGGCTATAATCACATCTGCCCTTATAAAATATGAGAGCTTCAATACTCCTTTGAAGGTAGGTCTGATTTTAGGAAACATAGTTTGTGCCTAGCCTAAATGCACCGTTGTCTTTTCATGAAAAGAAAAAAGGCAAGAGAAGAAAAGAGAAGGGAAGGGAAGGGAAGGGACAAGAAGGAAAGGAAAGGGAGGAAAGAAATAGAGAAAGAAAGAAAGAAAGAAAGAAAAAGAAAGAAAGAAAGAAAGAAAGAAAGAAAGAAAGAAAGGAAGGAAGGAAGGAAGGAAGGAAGGAAGGAAGAAAGGAAGGAAGGAAGGAAGAGAATGGGAAGAGAGAGAGGAGAAAAAGAAATACATGAAAAAAATACCAATTTTACAGGCAAGGAACCAATAATCAGTGCTTTTTCATTAGTATTTCCTCTTTTACCCAAGGTCTTTCTATGTTATCATTTTCTTTTCTAAAATACATCTTTTAAAATTTGGTTTAAATAGTGCTACCCTATCAGTGATAATTTCAGACGTAAAATATATTAACTGAGCATTTATTTTTTTGAAAACTATTTTTTCAAAATTGTGGTAAAATTCATATAATATGTACTATCTTAATTAACTATTTTTAATTGTATAGTAGTAGTCTTGAGCACATTCACATTCACATGGACAAAATAGAGGAAGTAAAAGTGAAATAAAAATAACTCTCAGCTGAGAGGACTCCCAGAGGGCTGTCAGATGAACTCCAAGTTTATAAAATTTTATGGATAAGCAGAGCATGACAGTTTGCTCGTTTATGTAGTGGACACGTATCACAGGTGACTTTGTGGGCTTCAAATGGAACTCAGGTGCTCTAATCCAGTTACTCAACATGCAGGGTTTAAAGGGAACCAGATTTTAAAAGAAACCTGGTTGTTTTACATGTTTTAAGTTCCTCCAAACGGGACTGTGAATTAAAGAGGAGTCACATTCCCCTTGGCCTGAGAAGCTCCTTTCCTATTCAGTGTCCTACTGACTAATCTTATGTTAATTCCTATCAGGCAGGTTCACAATCAGATCTCCGTTTCTTGCTAGCCTATTCCTAAGCTAAAAAGCTAAAATGCCCTTACATGGCTACCATTCTTCTTTCTGTCCCTGTGAATTTATCTACTCTAGGTAGCTCATATAAATTAATTCTTATTTGAGACTGGCATTTTTGTGATTGTAATATTTCACTTACCATAATGTTGTCAGGCTTCCTTCACTTGAATATGTGTTAGAATTTTTTTCTTTTGAAAGTTCAATAATAGTTCATTGTGTTTTTATCCATTTTGTTTATCTGTTCATCCACCCGTCCACACTTGTGAGGCCTCTGAATTTGACTGCTGTGAATAATGCTGCTTTTAATATGGGGCTGCAGCTATCTTTGAGACTCAGTGTTCATTTCTCTTATCTTTTTCTTTCTGATAAGGGCCATTCTCACTAGCGTGCCATTGTCTCATACCTGATTTTCATTTGCATTTCCCTAGTAACTAGCTATTGGAACACATTTTCATTTACTTATTGGCTAGTTCTCTATCTTCTTTGCTGAAGAAAGTCAGAATTAAGGTCAAATGCCAGATTGGTGACCAAACTGACCTATTTTATAAGTTACTGTCTTTTAAAGATTTTGTAATCTTCACAGTTTTTGACACTTTATTTTTATTTATTTATTTAGTTAAAATGTGCAATTACAGGTAAGACTCAGTTCCATCATTGTTTTTAAAGATGCTTAATTGAATAATCAAAAAATAAGAGCTTAAATATTCATAATGTCTGCACTCTATCCAAATAATTAGATTTGGTAATTTTTGTAAATCCAGGTTAGAGGAAATATTCAAACACTTTTAGTTTCATTTCTCATACATATTTCATTCAATTCTTGTTAATTACCTATTTTGAAAGATTTTCAACTCTGGTGATTTTTTGGATAATTACTTTTTTTTTCATTTCAGTAAACACTTGGTATTTAAAATATAAAAAGCACATTTGTGGATGATTGAAAAGTATTTTCATCTAAGTAGAATATTCCACCAACTGGATTAGCTATTATTCTGATTTAAATATTGGTCACCTTGCCCATTAGACTTCAGCCTATATCTGTTCCTAAGTGTTCACAATGAATCATTGGCTGCTAGTGTAACTTCAATGCTAATTTTTGCTCCAGGTTTTCGAATGCTTCAGAAGAAAGACGTTAATGATTATTCATCCTTCGAGAAGAATTGATAGGGAATGAGATTACAATCATGTACAATTTCAGCTAACAAATTAAAGTATAAATTAAATTTTCACTTAGATAGAAAATAACTTATTTAAAGAGACAAGAGAATGAGAAACTTCATTTGCTTTTAATTTCTTTTTCCTGTTTTACAGATATTCAGAGTATCCGAGGGCTAGCAGTGGACTGGGTCTCCCGTAATTTATACTGGATTAGTTCTGAATTTGATGAAACCCAAATTAATGTGGCACGGTTAGACGGCTCTTTGAAAACCTCAATTATCCATGGAATCGATAAGCCACAATGCCTAGCAGCTCACCCAGTCAGGGGGTAAAGTATGATTAGTTTTTTAAAGTTTTGTTTTTCAAAATTTCACACTTTTATACTGACTTTATATAAAAACATTGTTTAGTTTAGAAGTCAAATATTCATTGAGTAAATAAATCTAATATGAATACAGGAATTTTCAAAGACACCTCTGATTAGGAGTTTGTATCCTTACAAAACATGATTATGTATATTATAATTCTATTAATTTATGCTTTTAATGAATTACAGTTTAGAATAAAAAGAGATGTGGGGAACAATCATTGACCTCACTTCACATGCCAGTTTTTAATAACATATTTGCTTCATGTTGACAGTATGATCATTAATAAGTAGAGTATATTTCACATCGCTTATCTTCTGAGGAGTCTTCATGTACCTGTAAGAAAGCTTTTACAGGGTGAAGAGAAATTCTTTCTCTCTATTACTTTTACTTGGAATGGATGAAATGAGTTTGTTCTCATCTCATGTCTGATTTCTTCTTGGCCAAGAGGATTCAATCATGATGAATTACCTAAAATGAAAGTAATTTACTGTAGTCATTGTTAAGTATTCAGTTTTGAATGTCAGAGGAAAAATAGATTGAGATAATTTTCCTTCAATACCAGGAAAAAAGCAAGAGTGGTGCTTTCTTCCTAGGCAAGTATGTAAGATATTTTTAGCAAATAGCTTGATAGTTTGAGGTTTTTCTGAAAGGAATTAATTTCAAGTCAATAATATATTTTGATATTTCCCTTGTTCTTTATTACCTTTCTACTTAGCAAGTAAGTCTACATCTAATATTATTAATCTATATCTCTTTTAAATTAAGGAAACTCTACTGGACAGATGGAAATACAATTAACATGGCAAACATGGATGGGAGTAATAGCAAGATTCTTTTTCAGAATCAAAAGGAACCAGTTGGTAAGTATTTTATTTTAAATACTTAACTATTGCACTTTTTAGTGTGACAAATCTACACTTGGACAGTACACTTTGATCTAGATCCTGAAAGAAAACACTGTACATTAGTAATAACATAAAAAGAGAAATGGATCAATTTCAGTGAATCCATTGGCTCTATGGAAGATGTAGGGCAGCCTATATTCATGACCAGCTAGTTTGGATTTTTTTCTTTTATGAAGGGTAAATGTATAGGAAAAAGCTTTATGTAGAAGGTAACAGAAAACCAAAAAGATAAAATGGAGCTTAAGCAACTGACAAAATCATGCCACCCCTTACCAAAGAAGAGCAGGCAGAATAAGAAAGGACTTGCACAGTAACAGAGGAAACACTTTTTGAAGGGCAGAAAACTGGCTCACCTACTAAGGTAGGAGCCAGCTTTAAAGGGATTAGCTGGTAGACTGGAGTGCTGGCGATCATGACCACAGTCCTGGTGTTATAGCTTTGGAATCTGCATTGCTTTAAATGAAGCTCTGATCTATGAAATGCGTGTCTCTCTTTGTGGTGGTTTCAGTCCTATTTGAATCCGGCTGATCAGAGGTTTAGAACAATGGCTAGAGGCTTCCGGGAATAGTTGAATTCTCATATAAAACCTTTACCTTTGTCTTTGATCTTGAAGGGGCTGTCATTATGTGAATTCATTGCTAATCAACCTTGTTTTGTTTATTTTAATGCAGACAAGCCCTGAATGATGAACATATGCAGAACTGAGAGGGTTTGGATCTAATGATCTAAGGATACAAAATGAACTGAAATAGTGTTTCGCTAACTATTTAGTGGACATCTGTAGGCTCACATGCAGAGTCAGAATTTTAGCAAAAATGGCTTTTAAGTCCCTGACTCCCAGAATAAAATACAATTCCTGCTTAGAATAAGTAGTAAACTGAGAGCCTAGGATTCTGCCCATCTCCATTTGTACGTTTGTCTCTGACTATCCCGTGACTTTGTAACAACTTTCTTCTTAGTTTTCTTAGGAGCCACAAGAACTGAAAGTGTTTTAGTTCACTGTGACCAACTTTAATACTGTAATCTCAAACAAATAACTGTTAGCTTGATAGTACCTTTTCTTTCATCCATATAATGAAGGAAAATTGAATGAGAAAAATCTCATGAGAAAAAAAAAATCTGATCTTTAATAATAGAACCTATCGGTAGTAGCCATACTTTTTACAACAAGTTCAATATATTAGAATTTGAATTGCCTATCATATTGACTATAAGTGAGCTTAGTGAACAATAAACTAAATAGATTTCATACAAATCTGATAAGGATAGATATGTAACCACATGAACAATTCCAAGTTGTTTTATGCAAATATGAGGATTTAACCCTGTATTATGCTGTTGCAAGCCTAAGAAATAAACAAGTAAAAAAAAAAAAAAAAAAAAAAAAAAAACACTAATTAGGGGCCGGGGATTTAACTCAGCAGCGTAAGTGCTTAACTGGCAAGCGCAAGGTTGTGAGTTTGATCCCATCACCAAAAACAAAACAAAACAAACAGAACACAAAAATGAAAAAGTTTAAGGTACATGCATTATACCCTCAGATCCCACCACCAAAGACAAAAGGATTTTACCTTTCTCTTGCTGTTCTTTACATGTTCAGCCAGACTTGGTGGCATAAGCCTACAATTTCATCTTCTGGGAGGCCCCGCAGGCATTTTTCAAATTGTAGTATAGCCAAGATAATTTAGAAAGACCTCTTAAAATAAAATAAAATTACAAATGGAGGTAACTTACAAGTGCCTTCTATTAACCTGCTTTGCTTTAGCTAACTAGTTTCATTAATCAGGTAATCAGGTCATCAGGTCAGTACTGTCCTGACTTCAGCATGGGAGGCTATGTTGTCCCTGTAAAGGTAAGAAGTCATCTTACTTTGTAATGTTTCCAAAATCTGGGTGCTCTGTGGCAAACACCCAAACTGTTGTATTTCATCACACAGAAATCTTCCATTACAATATTTTCTATATTGAGGCAGGGCATTGTGAAGTTCCTAAATTGCAGATTTGCAATCCTCCTGCCTCAGCTTCCTAGAGTGCTGAGGTAACAGGAGTGTCCCAACATTCCCCCCCTGCCTCTGTTGTTTCCCAGCTCTGTACCCAGAGCAAAGGTCCTGTCCTGGCAGGACACTGCTGTGGTTTATATGCCAGTGTCCTCTCAGATCCTTATGTGCTCACAGGCAAGGCCTTGTGAGGTAGCTGGATCACAGGGGTACTGTACTCATAGGGACTTAGTCCACAGATGAGCGTCTCAAATGTGCCATCAGGAAGTAGGGCCTGTTTGGAAGAGGTGGCATGAACTGGGATAGTATATCTGCTTCCGCAGCTCCCATCTTAGCTTTCTGCTTCCTAGTTGACATGATATTTGCAGCTTTTCTTCCTTACTCTGTGGCCTTGTCATCCTGAGTTGGATCTAACCAACCTTGGACTGTGATTTAGGCCAAAATAAATCTTTCCTCTTTTAAGCTGTAAGTAATGACTATTGATAGGATTATTTCCAGAAGATGAAAAATATTCCCAAAACATGAGGAGGATAAAACAAAAGAGGACTGGGGTTGGAGATTTAGCTCAGTGGCATAAGCGCCTGCCTTGCAAGCAGGCAGTCGTGAGTTTGATCCCTGGTACAGATAAAAAACGAAAAAAACAAAAAAACGAAGAGGCGTTTTTTCTGGGAACATGGAGAGAGAGGACTGGCATGTCAGCTGCTGAAATCTGGCGATCTCTCTCATGCAGACACGTGAAGTGGGAGAATATAAGTAGCCTAAGCTTAGGGCAGTGCTCTAAGGCCATTAGAGATCCACAGGTATTTCATTGGCACACATTTGGCACCAGGGGCAGATTCCCAAGGGTGGGGGGGTAATAGGGTTACAGGTAAATCTCTAGGGGTGGGGAAGACAGAAGCTCCCTAGTTCTGGCTGAGGAGTTTTCTGGCTACAGTGTCTGGTCTGGGTCAACAACCCTTTCATATCCCGTCTTATGATTATTAGGAAAAGGGGTGAAGATTTCTCCCTTTAACTACATCCTGCTGGCAGGGGGCGCTGTACTGGAGCCTAGGGGAGTTGACGGGATGAAGGTTGATGCCCAGGTAGATGCTGATGCCAGGTGTTTTAGCCAAGACAACTTCACTGGTGAATGTACGTATGTCAGACTGGAAAAACAAAGAGACATGATGTTATTAGGAGACATGGCACTGTCATATTTAAGGAGCCAGGTGAGGTAGAGAGGAAGGTGCCTTTGATTTAGACATGGTATTTTATCAGGATGTCATTGAGGTAGGATCATTATCACGGTGAGGTAGAATTCTGAAAAATAAGTGTGAGGTTAGAAGGAGTGAAATTATCAGAGGTGATTATTCCCCCATCTGAAGGCATAAAAGTTAGGAGGGTAGGCATGTAAAACTTGTCTCCAGTCTAGGAGTTGAGCTGGAAAAAATAGGGGTAGTAGGGGAGAGGGTGGCTGTACTAGTATAGGGAAGGTGAGGGCTTAGGCTTTCAGGGATGTCACGTTTAACCAGACAGCTGAGGGTAGAAAGAACCACGACAGTTATCACATAGAACATTATAAAGATGATCTTACGCATGATGTGGGAGTCTCTAGGAAAGACTGTCAAGAGTCCTGCTGTAAAAATGATCATTAATAGAGCGTAAGAGATTAGGGACCAAATTGGATAACAAAACATGACTTAGCCTGTTAACTGCGGCTGGGGCCTTGATGAAACGGAGACGGGTGGGTGACAGAAGATGAGATGACCACTCAGAATGATCAGATTTGGGGCTGGGAGGGCACCTGTTAGCCTGAGTGATGTGAAACCAGGATGGGAGTCCAGCAACTTTGACCGCTGTAGGGGTAGCCAAGTAGACCAGGTAAGGGCCACTCCACCTTGGTTGTAGTCCTGTGGATTTAGAACATTTGAGATAAATTAGATCTCCTGAGGATATGGGAGGATCTGGTTTGGCCTCTCCAGAGGGTTGTGGAAGGCAGAGATCAGCATGTTGTCACAACAGGTGTCGGAAGAAGGAGAGGACTGGGACATAGTCAGCCAGGGGAGGGAGATTTTAGGGAGCAGGAAGATTGTGGAGTAAGCATGGCCTGCCATAAGTAAATTCAAAAGGACTTAAGAAATTAGGAGCCCGGGGAAGTGCCCTGAGCTTGGCTAAGGCTAAAGGCAAAAGTTGAGGCCAAGGTTGGTGTAGTTCTAAAGTGAGTTTTGTAAGGTGTGTCTTTATGAGGCCATTTGCCTTTTCTACTTTTCCTGAGGATTGTGGATGGTATGGGATGTGTAGGTGCCAGGTGATGTGTAAGCTCAAGGATACCTGTTGAGTGATCTGAGAAATAAAAGCAGGACCATTATCTGACTGAATACTCTGAGGTAGACCAAACCTCAGAATAATTTCTTGTAATATGATTTTGGTAACTACATCAGCAGCTTCCCTGGTTGTGGGAAAGGCTTTTATCCATCCTGAAAAGATACAAACAAAGGTGAAAAGATATTTGAGAGTCTTGTGGCGGGGCATGCGTATATAATCTATCTACCAGTCCTGACCAGGGGTGTGTCCCCAAAATTGATGGGTAGGAAAGGAATGGGGTGCCATGCATCCCTGAGGAGAGGGCACAGAGATCACAGGTGTGAGTAATCTTAAGAATGATAGCTTTTAGAGAAGGGTGTGCATCTATTGGGGCTAAGAGTTTGTATAGGGCCTGTGATCCTATATGAAAACAGTTGTATAAGTCTGTGATGTTGTCTGAGGCCTGTTGATGAGGGAGAACAAGTTTAGATCCCTGAAAAATCCATCCCTGAGTGTTTTGTGTGTAACCTGGTTATGAAGTAACTGTAACTGCTCTGGTGAATAATTGGGCTGATGTAGACTGTTTGGAAGAAGATGAGAAGGGCAGGGCCTTTTTGTAGCTAACTTGGTTTGTGAGTCTGCAAAGGCATTGCCTTGAGCAATAGGATCTGTAGAG